GGGGGGGATGGGGGGGGGGGTGATTTGCAGGCCACTGTGGCTGCTGTCCTGAGACATCTCGTTAAGACCAATATGTAATATCTCGTTACCTTCTAATATGTATTTTTAAGGGGTAAATTAACTGGGGTTTTCAAGCGAGGAGCTGCGAACCCCACAAGTTCCCTGCACCGGCTCCAGCCAGCGCTGCCCCGTGCCCGGGCGAAAGGGGCCCCGCGGGCGCTGAGGACCCCCTGCCACGTGGAAGGGGCAGCTGCCAGGCTTTCGCACAATCTTCAGGGCACTAAAAAACGCTTTTTACCACCCCCTCAGCAAAACTGGCACCAGTCAGCTGAAAAAAACAGCGGTTGTGAAGAGCTGGAGCCGCGCCCTGGCAGCGGGAGCAGAAAGTCCTGCTGGCACGGGCATCCCTGCGGCTTCGGGAGCGGCTGGGAGCCTCGCCGGGCACGAGGATGAGGATGGGGACGGGGACAGGGATGAGAATGGTGATAAGGATGGGGATGGGGACAAGGGTGGGGACTGGAATGGGTGTAGGGATGGGGACGGGGTCAGGGATGGGGATGAGGATGAGGTAAAGGATGGGGACGGGGATGAGGACGAGGATGGGGATGAGGATGAGAATGGGGACAAGGATGGGGATGAGGACGAGGATGGGGACGAGGATGGGGATGAGAATGGGGACAAGGATGGGGATGAGGACGAGGGTGGGGATGAGGATGAGAATGGGGACAAGGATGGGGATGAGGACGAGGATGGGGATGAGGATGAGAATGGGGACAAGGATGGGGATGAGGACGAGGATGGGGATGGGGACAAGGGTGGGGATGGGGACAAGGATGGGGATGAGGATGGGGACAAGGATGGGGATGAGGATGAGAATGGGGACAAGGATGGGGATGAGGACGAGGATGGGGATGGGGACGAGGATGTGGATGAGGATGGGGACAAGGATGGGGATGAGGACGAGGATGGGGATGGGGACAAGGGTGGGGATGGGGACAAGGATGGGGATGAGGATGAGAATGGGGAAAAGGATGGGGATGAGGACAAGGGTGGGGATGGGGATGAGAATGGGGAAAAGGATGAGGATGAGGATGAGAATGGGGACAAGGGTGGGGATGAGGATGATGATGGAGACAAGGATGGGGATGAGGACAAGGGTGGGGATGGGGACAAAGGTGGGGATGAGGATGAGAATGGGGAAAAGGATGGGGACAAGGATGGAGATGAGGATGAGGATGGGGATGAGGATGTGAATGGGGACAAGGATGGGATGGGGACAAGGATGGGGATGGGGACAGGAATATGGATGGGGATGGGGTCAGGCTATGCTCGCTCACACCGTCTGCCGGGAAAGGAGGTGCTTGCGGGGACTGATCCCTGTAATTTCTTCCATGTGCCTCAGCAGAGCTTTTGGCTGGGGGGGGGGGGGGGGGTTTTTTTTACGGCTTGGGACAAAAAAAAAAAAAAAAACAAAAAATAAGT